GGGTTTAATAGTATGTTTGGAAAAAAAAGTTACAGTTTAAAAAAATTCATAAAAAAATTTTTATTTACGTGTATGAAATTGTAAAACGTAATACAAACAAAATTAATATAAAACTAAAATTATCATATTACTGGTGAATTTCACCAGAGGTAAATTCACCCCTGGTGAATTAATTTTAAATTAACCACTGGTGAATATAAAATTAATCCATTAAAAAATTATTTTAAAAAAAAATTATTAAATTTTTTATTTATTTATTCTATTTTCTAGTTGTAGATACAATATTTTTAATTTCTTCCCATTCTCTTTTTGGATTAAAAAAAAGTTCATCCAAGCATTATTATTATGATATACATTATCACACGTTGTACTTATTTTTATTCATTAAACCGTTAAAAAATAAGAATAAAAGAGTAATTTTATAAATTTTACAAGAGGTAGCGAATATTTATTATAAAATAATTATTTGTAAAAAAAATTATATTTAAGTTAGTTATTGTATAAATAATTTAATTTAATTTAATTTTAAACTCTTTTACTTTTAAATGTAGAATAAATATATGTTGGTTGGTGAGAACGCTATATTATCGAAAATGCGGGTATAGTAAACATGAGGTTTGAATCCAGAATTATCAGAATTATGATAATTCTAGTAATTTCGGCCAGTTTGCAACAATTCATTCATATTAACGATCGCCGTTATTCTAATGAATTATTCATTTTTATGTGCTATTTATATTTATATATTTATTTGTATTAATCATATTTACCATACATGAAACCATTACAAAATTTAAATTTAATGATATACTTTAAATTTTATTTAATAAAAACGCGTTAACTGTTAAGTTTACATATGATATTTTAGTAATATAATAATATAAATAATATGAAGATAAAAAAACAAATAAAAATAAAAAAATAAATTATTCAAATTACAAACTAAGAATCTTGAAGAAAATCTCATCAAGTCATAGTGTTTAAATAATTTACGATAAGAAAAAAATCAGGTGTAATAATTTTATCTAATTTATATAATTCTTCTGTACTATCTAAATATCTAAAATAATGAAAAAAAAAATATTACGTTAAATTTGGTAACTTAAAAGGTAAATTTTAAACATTTAAAAAAATAATTCTTACTGTCGGGAAGTTCTAATTCATCTTGTTCTTCTGAATGAAGATTTGGATTGTTATGTGCTTCGTCTTCATCTATCAAATGTAAATTAAAAATTAAAAATCAAAAAATACTATAAAATAATTATTTCAAGAATTTAAATAATTGATTTATCGTACCATTATCATTAATTTGAAGTTTCTTTATTCGCTTTCGCATTGATTCAATCTTATAATCATCTAAATAATAAATCATGTTTATTATTAATAAAATTAATAATAAAATCAACATACTTTAAATTATTTTACTTGCCATTTTTTGAGCTTCTTTTAAATATATTGGATAACTTTTTGCTGCTAACTAAATAATCATCAATATAAGTTATTCATTCATTTGATTATTTCAAAATAAAATATTTAATTACCTTTAAATATGGTACTTATTTTTGAAGTACTATTTTTCTTACTACTTGATTTATTAAAATCATCAACTAAAAAAAGCAAAATAAATCTATAAATAATGGCTCGTTACATAATATTTAAATGTAATTGCACTTACTATTATTAGGAATATGAAAATCATATGATTTGTTACTATGAAATGCTATAAAAAAAAATTAACCATATCATCATTAGTTTTTATAGATTAAAATTATATATTTTATCTAATTTATACCTTCTTGTTCTTCTATTATTATTTAAATAAAAAAAATAAATATTGTTAATTAAATATATTAATACACTCTTTAAGCAAGTTAATAAATCAATAAATACCTTTTGTTGCATTTCTTGGTTCAGAAAGATTATCGAATTGATGAAGTTTACTTCTAAATAGCTTGCCACTGCTGGTATAATTTTCCATTTCAAAATTATTATTTTCTTCTGGTTGAGTTAATGATTCATTTGATTTACTTTGATAAAATAAATTAATTTTACTCATTTTTTTCCCAAGTGTAAAAATATCAGGTCTTTTTGATGGATCAGCATCCCAGCATTGTTTCATTAAATTTTTATATTTTAAAGGAGTTCCTGGTACAATTTTAGGTCTTATACCATTAACAATATTCATTGCAAGATAGTAATCATGTTCATAATCAATAAATGGTGGTTGTCCAGATGAAATTTCCCACATAAGCATTGCAATACTATAAATATCAGATTTAAAAGTCTGTTCTCTTCCAATAATAACCTCAGGTGCTATATAAGGAAGATTTCCATATATACTTTTTAATGATTTATCTGCAGGTCCACAAAATCCAAGATCACTAATATCAAATCTACCCCTTTTAAATAATATATTTCCAGAATGCAAATCTCTATGAATTGCAGTTTCACCATGAATACTTTCAAGTGCAGTAGTTATATCAGTAATAATTTGAATTCTTTCTTTCCATGTAAGTTGATTATGATTTTGTTGTAAATATTTTCTTAAGTCTATTTCATATTTATTCATTATAAGCATATAATCTCCATTTGATGGATCTTGTGTTAATCCATAACATTGGACAATTTGATTCCATTTATTGCTTATATTTAAATGTGATTTAGCCTAATAAATAAACCATTAAAAATTTTAAACAAAAATTTATTTAACTTTTTTAATATTTAAATTACAAACCTCTTCAATCCAACTTTGGTTTGCATTTTCAACATCTTCTAATCTTTTAAGTATTACATCATGACTTCCAGATCTTTTTAATTGTTGTTCTTTAGAATCCCATTCTTCATATCTTCCATCAACCCAGCCTGCTGTATAAATTTCTGAAAATCCACCTTTTGTTAGGTATTCAATATTTTGTAGATTACTATATAGAATCCATTCTGGTATTAAATATGGGGCAATTGTTTTCATTTGACATTCTTGTATTAAATTATCAATAATATCATTTCCAGATGTCCAATTTGAAAATTTTGCTTTTAAATAATTTCGAACACAAATTTCACAATATGTTGTAGCTAAACATTCTCGATTACAATTTTCACAAATTCTTTTTGTTCCTTCATTAAAAACAAGTTTGGCATAATCATAATATTTAGTTATTATTTTTATTGCTTCAGATTTTTCATTTTCCGTAAGTGATTCATCATCAAGAATTGTTTGTTTTTGGAATTCATTTCTTTTGTGTATATTATTATGAATATTGTAATCTATTAATGCATATGATCTATTAATTGCATTATTAATTAATTTATTTTTACCCAATGACATAATGAAATACGTTATAAGGCCTTTAATTCTTTTATAAATATATTTATTAATTTTTTGAATAAAAAAAAAGAAAAGGTTGAAACCGGTATTTTAACTCCGAAGTTATACATATAAAAATAGTATTGTGTACCCAAATAAATGTTACATAAAGCAAACATCATTGTAATACCTTAATTTATGATATGCACACAAATCAACGTACATGTTGTACAAAAGAAAAAAAAAGAAGCTATCGTTATGAATTACTAATTTGATAATTTAAAATCTTTTTTTTTAATTTTTCTCTTTAATGAAAATCATCAAGAAGCTATGCTAATACCAAACTTCTCAAACTACATAGACGTAAAAGACTAATAATAAAACACTGCTGCATATGCCACATACTAATATAAAATTCCCAATGCTTTTTGTTTTATAATTTTAAAATATTAGAAGTATTACCATCCTTGTACTGCAGTTACAAATAAAAATTTTCCACTTGACAATAAAATTTAAATTATTTTCCCGTTCTTATCATCCTTGATCTAAGGATCTGCAGATGGCATCTCTATTTAATCAATCATCAACACATGGTCATCATGTGAGTATCATCCTTACTTCGCCACCTGCAGCTATCTTCAAAAGTTGAAAATTTTTCTTCATCAAAAATTTTAAGGTCATCCAACCATCTTCTTTACTCCATAAAAAGTTGAATCGAGCACTATTGTACTGAGTTGTAGATACAGTATTTTTTAATTTCTTTCCATTCTATTTTTGGATTAAAAAAAAGTTTCCAATCATGATTATTATGGTAAACATTATCACGCTAGCTGTGATTTATGTTATTAGGTTTTATTTCAATATGAGTATTTTGTTTATTAGGTACAAATCAAGTAAATATAGATTGATTACACGTGATCATCATCTGATTCGGAACACGTTTTATCAATTTATCATGGGTCAAAATATTGAGTTTTTGTCCTTTTTTTCGTTCATAAAGCAGATGCATGAATATTTCAATTGAACATTTTCTGAGTGGACTTCCTAGACGCTCACGATCTTCAAGATTTTAGTCAGTACTTTTCAGGACAAATTCCGAATTTTCTTTTTTTATAAGGGAGAGTTAATTTTTATTATTTTGCTTAAAAAATACATAGGATTGGTGATGTGGTGGAAAATCTATACTCTATAGGGTCCTGTATCATTAAAGTCTATAGGGCGAGCTACGAAGTTAGTGTTGGGGTGGAGGAAATCTATAAGGTTGTCTTACGTTCAAGACTATAGGTTGACCTGGTGGGATGAGAAATTAGGTTAGAACTAAAGACATGCATAATTAAGAATATTGTTGATCTTTTGAATCTTTTCTAGGGTGATAAGCCTGATTATTTTTCTGCAAGAAAATGGAGAGATAATCATGAATTATCTGATGCAATTCATAGAACTTACATAATCTGACATTCACAAAAACTTTGATAGGAAATTCTAGGAGTATTTCTGGTGAAACTTATTTTAATTTGTTCGACAATGCATCTAAAAGAAGCCACCAGGAGGTATATACTTGTATTTTTTTTTTTAGCTAAAAGTTGAGAATCAGCGGGAACTAATTATTTTGTACCTTAACACTTTAGTACGAGCAGTCTGAGCAAGATTTCCTAGAAAAACAGACAAAATTAGATTAACTATCTACCTTGCATTCCACCACATTAAATCAAATCATCAGTTGCTTTGAGAACTTTTCCTCTAGAAACTAATGGAGAGGCACGACATCATGTTTTCAATGTATATTCTGCAACAAAACATCATACGCAGTAATTCACTTTTTCTTCTCAACATCTAGATCCCAGCTCACGATAATGAAAGTGACAATAAGAGTATTATAAGCGATTCACCACTTCACGATGAATTTGTAAGGGAGATAAAGATGGCTGATGAAACAAAGAATATTACTCTGTTACGGAATCTGTTAATTATGATAATGATGCTACGTTTATAGTTTAGAATCTTCGTCCTGTGATACCGATAATGATGATACTGTTATAGATGATAGTATTTTAAGTTGGAGATAAAGATTGAGTTTATTGAATTCAAAAAGACATACTTAAAAATGAATGACTCGGACAAATGAATTCTTTCTACGGGAAAAATAGAAGTCAAAGAAATGAGACAAAATTTTTTAGTACTATTGTGACTGGACCAGAATATTCATGAATAGAATTATAGGTCAGCTAGGAGAGGGGAAGTCGCATGCTAAAGATGCCCTTTATAATCTCAGGTACAATTTGAAGTTAAATAATGAAGAAAAGGAATGCATCGAAAAGTTAAAGGGCTTATTAAAGAATGTTGACATGATGCTCGATGATTTTAAACTTCTACATGAAGTAAAATCGAAAAGCAATATGATGTTCCATCGCAATAATCAAGACCTAAAAGCAGCAAAGCTACAACTTAACGACACAGTCCTAGATGGAGTGAAAATATACAAGCCTCCTATAAAGAAGGCGCTGGAAGCAATTGGCAAATGGGGACTATTTTGATTTTAAATATTTCTAAAAAAATGTAGAAGGTAAAGCAAATTAACTTAATATATTCAATAAATCCTTAATCTAATTAATTATATAATTTGATGTTAGGTCGTGACAAGAAAAGTTAAATTCAGGTGTAACAGAAGAGGATTTATTAAGACAACTCTTTTTGAATAGTAATGAAATAAGTAAATATTAAGCAACGCTGATCAAATTTTCTTGTGGGAAAAATTTATGTATGAAATGCAATTAGCGATCTTCTATATTTATATAATTATTTATTTTTATGTCATCTGTATTATTATGAGATTTACGATAAAATAAAATGCTTTTTCTATATTTGCAATACTTTTCTTATTTGCCAAGAAAAATAGTTGCACATTGTTGTCTGTATAGTGCAATAAGTGTTGCCCGGAAATATGAGTAAGTGTTGGAAGCTTAAAGGATTTGATTATACGCACTTCAGCTTTGATAAATTTATTGGAGAATTAAATATGAGTTAAATATCAAAAAAGTTTACATTAACTGAAACTCTAAACTTTCTTGCAAATATAATAGACCTATCAGATATGATGAGCCTCGTTTGTCCTATAATGATAATGCCCGCTACCTTCTTGAGCATGGTGAACTTGAAGGCTGACCAAGAAGAAGAGGTACGGATATTGAACTAGAGTCCTGAAGTTTACAATATTGGAAAGTTCGTGTACAAAAAAATCAGCCGGTCCTTTATAAATTACTTGATGGACTAAAGCGTAGATTTGTTAGAGAGGATATTGCTTGTTAATGATGGTGTTGAACTACCTCCTGAGAGTGTTCTTCATCAATAATCACTCTTGATTTTAAGGGACGGATATAATTTTCTCATTTATTCTAGTGATTCTGTGAACAATAGATAATTCAGTAATTACCAATTTTTCTAAACTAGGATATAGAATTGGAATTTTTAATAATATGTTAGATCAGATCTGAATATTTCTAGCTAGTGACTTTAAATTTTTATATACTATTAACAACTCCTCAATATCTTTATTATTTACTAAACGATGTCCGCAATTATCAAAGATTAAGTGTTTTAAATTTGGACATGCTTTTAAATACATCTAAAATAAAGATGTTTAGATTTATTGCTATTTTTCACTAAATTTTATAGATTTACAATATCACATGACATTGGTCGAACTTTTGCTTTAAAAATTGATGTAAATTTAATTCCTGTTACAGATATACTAGTGATCCTTAAACGAAAAAATCACAAAAACTCTTTCCCCTTTTTTATTTTTTTGATAGTTTTCTGCAGTAATTTTGCGCAAGTTTTATTTTTTTAGTTTCTATTTGAAACGCCAAAAGGGAAGAGGCCCAAACAGGCGCCTCTGTCCTATATGAAGTTTTTTTTATTCTTATTATTACAACCTATATCATAAAGGAATATGACTTCTACACCTTATATCGAAATAGACTGGTCTTCCACTTCACAACAACCTTAACTTCAACTCGGTGACCTAACACCACCTGAAAATGACTCAGATAATATATTACATAATACTGAGCGGCCAACAGTACTTTCTTCTAAGAATATTCTTTCCCTTGATATTGATGATATTTATCCTTTTACGTACTTAACTCTTCATCTCGAATAAGATGAAATGGAAGAAACCTATGACAATGAAGATTACTTTCAGCAGTTACTAAATACTGCACTAAACAGTAAAATAGAAGTAGTCAGCTATGGAGGAAATAATATACCCTCAACCTCCTGACGTTCCTTTAACTCCTATCATTAATGATAATACTCCGCCGCCTTCAAATATTGCGCCTGCTTCAGCAAATTTACCTAAGGATGAAAAAGAAAATACTTTCTTGGTCTCCCTGAAAAAACCTGACGTGACTATGCCAAAACGATCAGGTTATAACAAGATTTATGAAATCTGCCATCTAGGACAACCTGATACCATTACGGGCTCATTTCCTGAGAAAAAGAACTATTATTTCGCAGTCTCGTTTAAAAAATTTCACATGATAAGGATACACAAAACTGGTCACAACAAGATCTACAATTATAGGCGTTCAAAAAGTTTCTTTATTGAGATCACGGATCAATCTTCAAACACCAATGATATTCATTTAAAGATACACACAAATGACTATCTCATGTCAACCGCCCCGATTAGTTATAATTCCACGAGTGTCCTACCTAACACCAAATATCAAATTAGCAAACAGCTTCAGCATTTTTTTTCCGCACAAAGAGTTATTCCACGCAAAATTCAGAATAAATATTTTAATTTAATACGGAAAAAATTATTAGAACGCATCACGTTCATTAAATCACATGAGGACAAAAATGATCATCATAATACATTAACAAAAACTTTCTTCAATTTTTCTTACAAAAAATATCGGTTCTACTTTGGCATTTATCTTCCTTGCCAACATGTGACAGTACACAAAGGACTTAGTGTAACTTCTTTATGTGATCTTCCATCTCCTATTGTAAAATCTAATCACTGTCATAGATGTGGCCTTCACTTTCACTTAAAATACCCTACCAAGACCATTGAAGTAAGAAATAATGAAGGAAATATTGTAGATAATGACTATACATGCTGCCCAAATTATTTTGGGATGCCATAATTATAATTTGGGATGCCATAATTCATTCGGTTTATATATAATTTACTATGTAAAGTGCCAAAATAATTTGGGATGCCATAATTGAATTTGGGATTTTACTTATAATTATGGCAGTCCAAAATAATTTGGGTGGCATGTATAATAATGACCACTCACAAAATAAAGCTTTTCACGCTAATTTAATTTTTGAGCGCTGGAGAAATAGAGAAATTAAAACTATTAAGTCTCTTCATACGGGAATTTCTTACAACTCCCGTTACATGGCCCGTAATCATTTCCGCAATATTACAGCAGGTAGAATTCATATGTACCACAAATTACTGAACGGTTTTCGGTTCTCTCCAAGTCCAAATCCTAAGACAGCGACAAAGCAGAAACAACGTTTTGAATGCTCTGTTAGAAGAGTCCTCAAAGATGAAACAATTAAACCAGGTGGTATCACAGGTCGAACAGATGTCATTGTCGCAAAATTTGCCTGGAATTTTTCTGGCAAATTGAGAATTATTGGGGTAAATTGTGTTACAATTTTGGGATAATGGAGGTCTTACAATTTGGCAAATTTTGTCAAAATGGCGGAATTCCTACAGAATTCCTAATTCAAATGTTGAGAAATTTTTCAGTAAATTATCATTAAATTGTGGGAAATTTTAGGCAAATCTTTAGTAATGATATGCAAACGAAGTGCAAATTGTGGTGAATTTAGTCAAATTTTTAGTAATTTTATGCAAACGTAATGCAAATTGTGGTGAATTTAATTAATACTATGTAAACGAAGTGCAAATTGTGGTGAATTTTTAGCAATATTAGGCCAATGTTATGTAAATTGTGATGAATTTTTTGTAATGATACGTAAATTGCAAATTTGAAATAAAAATTTTCCATTGTTGCACAATTTACCAGGAAAATTCTGGTAAATTGTGCATTTTTTTTGTCAAATTTTGGAAAAATGGACCATTTTACCAAAATTCAACTTTCAAATGCTAGAAAAATTTTAACAATTTTAGACAATTGAGCGACAATGGTTTGACAATTTTTGGATAATTGAGTGCAAATGCAATATTTTAAGACAATTTCTGACGATTAAGTGATAATTAAGCAACAATTTGGCGTAATTTTATGCAAATTTTATAACAATTTATTATGATTTTAATTTTATTAACAATTTACCATTATAATATGTAATTAAGTACAATAATGTTAAAGAAAAACAAACATAAAAAAAACAAAAAGTTTTGAAGGTTAATCTTCGAAACTCACCAAGCAAGGAGCCAAAGAACTGTTTACTTTTGTTATTTCATTACAATAATCTACAAAAAAAGAAAACTGTTCAGTTAGAACGTTTCTTAAAGAAAAAACAGGAGTTTCATAACAAAATATACGAAACTTACCAAGCCATATCCAATACCTGAACGGAAAGTAATGGCTTCTATTCAACAATGGTTTTACGCGATTCATGTTTCCTAAGTTAGCTTCCCAGATATCCCGAACCTACAAAAAAGAAAAGGAACGTTAGTAAACGGTTCCTAATAAAAAAAATCAAAAAAACTTGTTTCGTGATACTTGTCACAAAACTCACCATTTAAATTGAAGTTTCGAAGTTATACTTCGAAACCTAAACGTTATCCAAACCCAAGACTTTTGAAACTGGAGGGAGGGAGCTCCAGATCAATCAGACTCCCAAAATCGATCTACAAAAAAAGAGAGAAACGTTAGAACGTTTCTTAAAAAAAATTAAAAAAAAAATTAAGTTTCGCAACGTTTATGTTGCAAAACTTACCAAAGTCAAGTATCCCGCTCAAATCTACAAAAAAAAATAAAAGAGAAACGTTAAAAAACGTTTCTAATAATAAAAAATAAAATAAAACACGGTAAGTTTCATTGCGAAACTTACCATTTTCACTTTCCAATGACACCCGACTTGGAGACCTACAAGAAAAGAAAAGTAAAAGAAACGTTAGGACGTTTCTTAATTAAAAAAAACAAAAAAGATAAGTTTCGTTAAACAAAACTTACATTTTTCTGTTTTGGAATCCTGGAGCACTTGAACCTACAAAAAAAAAGTAAAAGAAACGTTAGAGCGTTTCTTTATTAAAAAAAAAATAAAAATATAATAAGTTTCGTTAAAACGAAACTTACTTTTTTCCATTTCGGAATCAAGGAGAATCATTAATGAATATTCATGCTGAAACTTAGCGTTCTCACAGGTCTTTTAACGTTTCTAAAAAGACCTAATAATCTAGTGTTGATTTATTCCAGGTATAGTCTAATGAATTTACGCTCCTGGAACACCGGAACCTACAAAAAAAAGTAAAAGAAACGTTAGAGAATGTTTCTTAATTAAAAATAAAATAAAATATAATAAGTTTCGTTAAAACAAAACTTACATTTTCCGTTTTGGAATCCTAGAGCACCGGAACCTACAAAAAAAAGTAAAAGAAACGTTAGAGAACGTTTCTTAATTAAAAAAAATATATAATATAATAAGTTTTGTTAAGACAAAACTTACATTTTCCGTTTCAGAATCCTGGAGCACTGGAACCTACAAAAAAAAGTATAAGAAATGTTAGAGAACGTTTCTTAATTAAAAAAAAATATAATATAATAAGTTTCGTTAAAACGAAACTTACATTTTCTGTTTCAGAATCCTGGAGCACTGGAACCTACAAAAAAAGTATAAGAAACGTTAGAGAACGTTTCTTAATTAAAAAAAAAATAATATAATAAGTTTAGTTAAAACGAAACTTACATTTTGCCATTTCGGAATCTTGGAGTAACGGAACCTACAAAAAAAGGTAAAAGAAACGTTAAAACGTTTCTTAATAAAGAAAAAAAAGTAAAAAAATAATAATTTAAGTTTCGTAAGGTACGAAACTTACCCGACTTCTCCAAATGTAACGATGATTGCCATACCAACGGGGAATGGGAATGGTGGTGAGGGGGAAGGTCGAGAGAGAGGGAAGTGGGGAGAGAGGGGAAGGAGAAACGTGACGGGAAAATGGTGAAAAGAAGGGAAGAGGAATATGGAGCGAAATAAACTAAATTAGTTTTTTTTTAAACTCTAAAAAAAAACTGCGGCTGCGGCTGCAATAGTTTATTTTTAGCATTTTTAGGTTAGTTAAAAAATGAACTGCGGCTGTGCAGTTTAACCAAGTTCATGTCACGTGATATCGTGACATGTATTTTATATAAATAGGGGCATTTTTCCCGAAAAAAATTTTTTTTTTTTATAATTTTTTTTAATTTAATTACGATTTTTTTTTTTTTTTTTTTTTTTGGTAAACGTATTTATTAATTTATTAGTAAATGTAACGCATCACAATACAAAATAATTATAACAATTATACTTGAAATTCAGGATCAAACAATCCTGAACTCCTCCATACCAAAGCCAAGGGTTATCTAACCAAGGCGCGGATAAACATAACCAAAGATAGAACTAAAATAAAATATTACAACTGGGTGAAATCTATTCAAAAAACTATTTTTTAATTCTACTACTCCTACCCTTTTTTACCACTCTACTAAAACCTTCCAGGGGTGTTTTATTTATTTTGTCAGTATTGGGTTTAGTTTCAGGTTGGAGTTCCATCTTCATTTCAACTTCGCTCGAGCTATCTATGGTTGGATCTTCTTCCGAATCACTACTTCTTGCGCCTTGTTTCTTCTTTATACGCTTTTTGACATCTTTTAGACATTCATCGTCATCCGAAGACTCTGATAAAGGTGACTTGTCTTTCTTTTCAATTAAGAAAGGGTTATTGTTTGAGAGCGTATACGGACGATCACTCTTCTTTTGTAGTCTTTCTGTACAATCAGCGTTGACTTTGGCAAATTCATGTAATTCCACAGGCGTAACGGTTTTACTTATCAGCTTTGCTTTCGATTTTTGTTCTCGTTCTTTCATTCTTTTATCGTACCTTTTAAACTCTAAAATAAGCTCTTCCTTTCTTCTTTTAATATATTCGTTTTTCTCCGATAAGTCTGTAGGAATTCCTTCTTGAGTCAGTGCATTTTCATGTTCTGTAAAGACTTCTCCTCTATATTCTTCTATAATCTTAACCACATTCTCCGGTGAAGTGTATCCTTTAGTCGTAGGCGTTACCGAGGGCTGAATTTGTGTTTCAGGTTCGTCCAGTAAATTCCTCCTGTATTTGTTAACGGTATCGACTACTTCTTCTGTGGTTGTATGTATGACAGTATTAGGCGTAGCTGATGTTGATCCATGGTTGTTAATGGATATTACTTTGTTGGTTTTTCCCGGGGACGTACTGATGAGAGATCTGGCTGTCACCTCTTTTGAGGCTATTTGCACCATACTCTCGTGTCGTCTTCCATGTATTACCCATTTGTTGTCCATACTTTTATCCACGGCAATCGCAGCCTCTAGTTGTTCTTTATTTTTGAAATATGCTAAGAAAACTGTCTTATTTCCAAAACAAGCTGTTTTTCCAAATTCGAAGGTGAAGTTATTTCTCGCTATGTCTTGGTAGTAATTCGTTTGAATCACTTTGTAGGCTTTCCACTTGCATTTTTCCTTTATGTCTTTTACTGTCTTGTCTCCATGGAACCAACGGACATCAATGACTTTTTTATTTTTTTCGTTGCTTCCAATCAGTATCTTTTCTTTCCACGCTCCT